GTTGTCAAAGAAAGTGCCCCCGTGTGATTTGGAGCAGCGAAAGGCCTCACTTTGAATACAGACGACAGAATGATTTTAGAAATGTGAGCGGGATTATTTTAATATGTCAAGAGACTTTGTTCTGTCCTGAAGTGGATTTAAGCATAAAGCAGGCCTGAAGGACACTGACTCACAGGTGATGTGTAGTTAACAGGGGAGAGAGACATGGGTGTGTGTGTCTGTGTGTAATTGTGTGTAACTTTTGCCAAAAAGAGAGAGCAGACGGGATTATAACAGCCTCTACCTGTCATACAGTACATAGCACTAAATAGATATTACAGTTTGAATGTATTGTTTCCAAAGGTCATCTGATCACCTTGACCAACATGATGGCTCAATATCCTTCAATATCTGTTTGGATTAAACTAATTAAACCTTTAACAGTGTCCAGGGTCTTCACTGCAGTTTAGTATTGACATCGAAAGATCAATCTAAATGTGCTGCGTTAGTGACACATTCACTTATGGACATTCTTTCTTGTTTTTTACACATATGGTAATTGATTTATAATTTAGCTTAGGGCTATAATTGCACACTGAACGGAGAAGAATGATAAGTGGTCTTTACTTACTTACTTACTTAATTACTTACTTACTGAAACGTTACAATTTGCAGATAGAACCCCAAAGCAGAAGCAGGAGACTGAAGGAGTTTAATTTATACACAATTGTTGAGGTGACTTAAGCCGGGTACTACAGTATAAGCCCATCAATGAAAAAAGGGAAATATCCTGTATTGTGATGAGGAAAACTGTATTCATTATACTTCCAAATAAAGTGTGAGATTTCATAACGAAGTATATATATAAAAATAACAATACTAGTGGAAAGTTGCGCAGGTATGGGAGCAAAAAGTGTGTTGTACATGTTTTGATGTAAACGTCTTGATTGGTTGATAAAGCGTGACTATTTAAAACAGATGTATTGTTGTAACCATAGTTAGGGGAAAAGACATTGTTCAGTGAAGTCAATACGTCCATGAAAACATATTATTGAAAGTTATACACTGCCTCTATATTTTTCACACTTACTATTTCCTAAGTCAGAGCTCTGTTTCAAGTGGATGGTTTGGGGATTTCGCTCTTATCTGGGCTCAAATGTCACCACCACACAGGGTCGGAGGTGTCCGCAGCAGCAGCACAGAAATAACAGGGACTCGGATGAAAAAGTCCAATCAAAATGTGACCATCACACCTCTGTGGGTCTGGAGAAAAGTGTCTGAACTGACCATTATGTGAAGTTACTCTTTTAAAAACTGCTGTAAAATACCTCAATGGATTATTATTGAGGTACCAAGTATTCAAAAGAACAGCTCCTCAGTGCAGAAAGCTACCATCAAAATAATGTACAATAAAGCATCAAAATTACAGGATAAAAGGTGACAATAGCTATCATGCATTTAACGCAAGTCAAGGGAGTTTAAAGGGGATCTATGTAGTATCAGCTGCAACCCCAACAAAATCCCATTGAAAGCAGGTAGTATATCCTCATCAGAAAAGTGACACCTTTCACTTCCAACATATTTATCGGCAAAGCTCCGCAGATGTCTCGACTCGAGCTATATAAGCATCATTTGCTTGATTCAACATATAATTAAACTGTAATTGCAGTGGGCGCGGCCACTCTGGGAAGCTGTATACCTTTAATTAACTCTGATTATAATTGCAATGTTCATATTTCTTTGATGTACTTTTCACCTCACTGTAGGTTGTTTGACTAACTTTTCCCTAATCATAACAGAGCCGTATCTGGTTGTATGTCCTCCTGTTTGCAAAGAGGTCACTGCTGATTGTCTACACAGTGATTGCACAGTAATTAGCCTGATTTTTCGGACTTAAATCCAAGGACGAAGCCGTGAAGTATTGTGTTTTTTGTTCAACGTCTTGGGCCTGTTCCCAGCAGGTAGGAGAGGGGCAGGATGCACAGGGAATGACAATACGAAGATGCCGTATTGTTATCAAATTACATTCTGCTTCCAATCGCCAAAATGCTTTTGTGTGTCCCATTCTGTTGTCCTCAAGTGATTTATGCCCTGAGCGAACTCCGGACGTGGGTGAAGTTGAAGGACAGTACTTAGCAAATGGCAACATAGATTTGCAATGAGGCTGAATATGGCATGGGATCCTCAGGCTGTTGTATTTTTAGATTGTTAAAGAAGGAATATTACATTATTTCTTTTGACTAAACAATTAGAATGAGACCATATACTTTGTCATTTCATGTATTAGAAAGTGAAAAAACAGTTTAAACAGTTTAAAATACATGGGGAAACAAAGCTGAAGGGATGAAAATGCATTCCACTTGTAACTCCTTAAGCTACCTCCAGAGGGAGATGGTATTGAACAATTGCCAAAACTAATTTATGAGCAATCCTGGCATGATGTTATACCCTGATCTTCCCCTTTATTAAACCATTTCTGGGTTGGGGGGGGGGGATTTGGCAATCAGAGCTGCCACCCAATGCTCGTAGCACCAGTCCCATTGCTGCCCCTTCTACAGGTGGTGGGTCCGTCAGTGATGCCTTGGTCTTTCTCGAAGCACAATTACATCATATTATTACACAGTAGCTTTTAGATACTTTAGAAGCGGAGAGTTATATGAGTATAATTTAACAATGATCAGAACTGCATAATATGTCCCCTTTTTTTTGTTCATGAGTTTGGATTAACTGCAGGTACATGTAACCTTTGTAAGTAAGTAAGTAATCTTTATTTATATACCACCATTCACAGACCAGAGTCACAAAGCAGTTTACAATTTGTTATTTTTTTGGGCATTTGTCTCTCACTCCTCACAGAGGTGGGAGCGGGGTCGCCAGTACAGGAGGCCAGACCTATTGTACTTGTATTTGTGGTGTGGGATCCAACATCTGCTTGTCTCCTTGGATATTCCCTTTTTCTCGACCCTTTTCTCGACGTCATACACAAGGCAACTCAAAGTGCTGAACAAGATAGGATTAAAATCATAAATAATCACAGTACATTAAAAAGAAACATAAAAATATAAAATCCCTCAGTAGTATGCACAGCTAAACAGAACTGTCTTTAACCTGGTTTTAAACATTGTCAGAAAAGAATCCTGTCTCACACTTTCCAGAAGATTGTTCTTGTATATTACATGCACCTTATAGGAACAAACTGTGGACATAGTTGCCATTAACTGGTTTGATTGATTACATTTATATTTCGTAGTTAGAAAAAACTAAATGGCCCTAAAGATTCATACAAAACATTAATTCTGCAACTTCCCCGCGATCAAGATCCAAGCCATTATGTCCCATATTCAGCTACATATTTAAGCTTTGTCATATGAATTTATCTACTTCTTAAAGGGGAAGTCAGACTAAGGTCAGAACTCATTATCAGTAAAATAAACAGAGGGAAGTCATTACCACAGTGTCAACAATCGACTGGAGTGCTGCTTCATCAGGAGTTTTCATTGTGGAGATAATCGTATTGAGAGACCACATTCCTTAAATACACACTGTGAAATATTCATAGACAAGCGACTAGTGCCCAGAGGGTCGGAAGTGAAATAAATGAATATAACTTCCTCTCTGCTCCTCCGTGGAGAAAATGTCTGACAATAAAGTGTCTCAAACTGTGTGCGAGCACAGCTTTCAAGTGCACATTTTGCTTTGAAAAACATTTGTGTTCTCCTTTCATACCAGTCAGGGAGAATAGTTTAGAAAAGAATAGAATAACTTCTGCCATGTGTAGAGTGATGACAGAAACTGGTCTTTGCTCGCAATTACACACACATTTCATCCCAAGAACACAGAATATGTGGCGACAGTGGCTCAGTTGGTGGAGCCTGAAGCTCGTGGGTTCAAGACTTTCCCCACCGACTCCCACTGATGTCTGCTGTCGCTGTGTCGTTGGCAAGACACTTAACCGCTGGGAACGCCAGGTGCAGTGGGGTGGCTGCAGCTGCAAAGTGCCAAACTGCCGTTGTGTCCTTGGGCAAGACACTTCACCCATATTGCCTAGAATGAGTCTGGTGTGTGTCGCTGTCAGTGTGCCCAAGGCTACAGTACAGTGGCTACAGTAGTAGTTTATTACCACCATGGATGAAGTGAATTAATAATGACATGTGAAGCGTCTTTGAGTGTCCAAAAAAGCGCTATATACTGTCAAACCGATGTAATATTATCATCAAAATACATCGGCTTAAAGTTAGCATGCATGTTGGAATGATTTTATATCTTTATATCAAAATAACCTTGTTGTATTCATGTGGAGAAGGTGATTCAAAAGTCCACTGCGTGTACAGTATGTTGCTCTTGGTGTGTGTAGAATGTGCAGATCACATGGCTGTAGTGTTTTGACAAGGTAAAGCTGGGGGAACTCAATTTAAAACCACAACAAATTTCACTATGATAAAGTCCAAATAGCTAGCAGTTCCTTGCTCTAAAACAGTTTAGTATTTGTTAGCCTCTGTCACATCTTTGGACTGCATAAATTGAAGCTTGGGTGATTATCTTTCAAGCCATGTAATAAAATCCATCTCATGCTCTAAGCAGTTTGGTTCTATTGCTGCTATAACTTGTTTTCATATAAGATATGCTTTTTTTATCTCACAAAGGAGAAATTTACATGCCTGCATTCTTTGGCCTTTGTCACATTTTTATATCAGATTAGTCACAAAGAAAAATGAAAAATGACGACCACCCTCACTCAGCTAATCACGTCTGCCCAAATCCATAACGAGAGACTCACACAGCTCTTTATTGAAATTATGCAAAATGTACAAAGTTTTAATGGGATAAAGTCAGCGTGTTGTGGTCTAATTTTGTTCTCATAATATTTCTTTAACAATACTCTTTGTTGAGGCAAGCAAAATGTATCCGAAACAAAAAGTTAGCCTCCCTTGCTTTAATTTCATTACATTGTGAATCATAATAATACACGTGATGCAGAATATTCCCATCTCCGCCCTCTCTGTCGATAGCGCTCTCATTACCCTGCAGTGACACTTGGATGGATGCTCTGGGCGGAGGTGAGGTGTGCTGACATGACGGAGCGCAGTAATGTGTGCGTAATCGCTGCTGCTGACTCTGCACTGAGTCCGACAGGCTCCAGAGTGGATGTGAGGGAGAGCGAGGAAGCACCCCTACAGCAGCGGGACGAAGGACGACTGCACCGGACAGGGGAGAATGAGGGGGAGTGGACAGTACACGGGACAGGGGAGAATGAGGGGGAGTGGACAGTACACGGCACAGGGGAGAATGAGGGGGAGTGGACAGTACACCGGACAGGGCAGACTGAGGGGGAGTGGACAGTACACCGGACAGGGCAGACTGAGGGGGAGTGGACAGTACACGGGACAGGGGAGAATGAGGGGCAGTGGACAGTACACCGGACAGGGGAGACTGAGGGGGAGTGGACAGTACACGGTACAGGGGAGAATGAGAGGGAGTGGACAGTGCATGGGACAGGGGAGAATGAGGGGGAGTGGACAGTACACGGGACAGGGGAGAATGAGGGGGAGTGGACAGTACACGGGACAGGGGAGAATGAGGGGGAGTGGACAGTACATGGGACAGGGGAGAATGAGGGGGAGTGGACAGTGCATGGGACAGGGGAGAATGAGGGAGAGTGGACACTACACGGCACAGGGGAGAATGAGGAGTGGACAGTACACGGGACAGGGGAGAATGAGGGGGAGTGGACACTACACGGGACAGGGGAGAATGAGAGGGAGTGGACACTACACGGGACAGGGGAGAATGAGAGGGAGTGGACAGTACATGGGACAGGGGAGAATGAGGGGGAGTGGACACTACACGGCACAGGGGAGAATGAGGGGGAGTGGACAGTACATGGGACAGGGGAGAATGAGGGGGAGTGGACAGTACATGGGACAGGGGAGAATGAGAGGGAGTGGACAGTACACGGCACAGGGGAGAATGAGGGGGAGTGGACAGTACATGGGACAGGGGAGAATGAGGGGGAGTGGACAGTACACGGGACAGGGGAGAATGAGGGGGAGTGGACAGTACACGGGACAGGGGAGAATGAGAGGGAGTGGACACTACACGGGACAGGGGAGAATGAGAGGGAGTGGACACTACACGGGACAGGGGAGAATGAGAGGGAGTGGACACTACAAGGGACAGGGGAGAATGAGAGGTAGTGGACACTACATGGGACAGGGGAGAATGAGGGGGAGTGGACAGTACATGGGACAGGGGAGAATGAGGGGGAGTGGACACTACACGGGACAGGGGAGAATGAGAGGGAGTGGACAGTACATGGGACAGGGGAGAATGAGAGGGAGTGGACAGTACATGGGACAGGGGAGAATGAGAGGGAGTGGGACAATACACCGGACAGGGGAGACTGAGGGGGAGTGGACAGTACACGGGACAGGGCAGACTGAGGGGGAGTGGACAGTGCATGGGACAGGGGAGAATGAGAGGGAGTGGACAGTGCATGGGACAGGGGAGAATGTGGGGGAGTGGACAGTACACGGGACAGGGGAGAATGAGGGGGAGTGGACAGTACATGGGACAGGGGAGAATGAGGGGGAGTGGACAGTGCATGGGACAGGGGAGAATGAGAGGGAGTGGACAGTGCATGGGACAGGGGAGAATGAGGGGGAGTGGACAGTACATGGGACAGGGGAGAATGAGGGGGAGTGGACAGTACATGGGACAGGGGAGAATGAGGGGGAGTGGACAGTGCATGGGACAGGGGAGAATGAGAGGGAGTGGACAGTACATGGGACAGGGGGGAATGAGGGCGAGTGGACAGTACACGGGACAGGGGAGAATGAGGGGGAGTGGACAGTACATGGGACAGGGGAGAATGAGAGGGAGTGGACAGTGCATGGGACAGGGGAGAATGTGGGGGAGTGGACAGTACACGGGACAGGGGAGAATGAGGGGGAGTGGACAGTACATGGGACAGGGGAGAATGAGGGGGAGTGGACAGTGCATGGGACAGGGGAGAATGAGAGGGAGTGGACAGTGCATGGGACAGGGGAGAATGAGGGGGAGTGGACAGTACATGGGACAGGGGAGAATGAGGGGGAGTGGACAGTACATGGGACAGGGGAGAATGAGGGGGAGTGGACAGTGCATGGGACAGGGGAGAATGAGAGGGAGTGGACAGTACATGGGACAGGGGGGAATGAGGGCGAGTGGACAGTACACGGGACAGGGGAGAATGAGGGGGAGTGGACACTACACGGCACAGGGGAGAATGAGGGGGAGTGGACAGTACACGGGACAGGGGAGAATGAGAGGGAGTGGACAGTGCATGGGACAGGGGAGAATGAGGGGGAGTGGACAGTGCATGGGACAGGGGAGAATGAGGGGGAGTGGACAGTGCATGGGACAGGGGAGAATGAGGGGGAGTGGACAGTACATGGGACAGGGGGGAATGAGGGCGAGTGGACAGTACACGGGACAGGGGAGAATGAGGGGGAGAGGACAGTACATGGGACAGGGGAGAATGAGGGGGAGTGGACAGTACATGGGACAGGGGAGAATGAGGGGGAGTGGACAGTGCATGGGACAGGGGAGAATGAGGGGGAGTGGACAGTACATGGGACAGGGGAGAATGAGGGGGAGTGGACAGTACATGGGACAGGGGAGAATGAGGGGGAGTGGACAGTACATGGGACAGGGGGGAATGAGGGCGAGTGGACAGTGCATGGGACAGGGGAGAATGAGGGGGAGTGGACAGTGCATGGGACAGGGGAGAATGAGGGGGAGTGGACAGTACATGGGACAGGGGAGAATGAGGGGGAGTGGACAGTACACGGGACAGGGGAGAATGAGGGGGAGTGGACAGTGCATGGGACAGGGGAGAATGAGGGGGAGTGGACAGTGCATGGGACAGGGGAGAATGAGAGGGAGTGGACAGTACATGGGACAGGGGAGAATGTGGGGGAGTGGACAGTACATGGGACAGGGGAGAATGAGAGGGAGTGGACAGTACATGGGACAGGGGAGAATGTGGGGGAGTGGACAGTACATGGGACAGGGGAGAATGAGAGGGAGTGGACAGTACATGGGACAGGGGGGAATGAGGGCGAGTGGACAGTACACGGGACAGGGGAGAATGAGAGGGAGTGGACAGTACATGGGACAGGGGAGAATGAGGGCGAGTGGACAGTACATGGGACAGGGGAGAATGAGGGGGAGTGGACAGTACACGGGACAGGGGAGAATGAGAGGGAGTGGACAGTACATGGGACAGGGGAGAATGAGAGGGAGTGGACAGTACACGGGACAGGGGAGAATGAGGGCGAGTGGACAGTACATGGGACAGGGGGGAATGAGAGCGAGTGGACAGTACACGGGACAGGGGGGAATGAGGGGAGTGGACAGTACACGGGACAGGGGAGAATGAGGGCGAGTGGATAATACACGGGACAGGGGGGAATGAGGGCGAGTGGACAGGACCAGGGCTGTGTTTTTTCTCATGGACCACATCCCGACTCCAGCAGAAATAAACCACAGATATTGGTTTCTTTAGGACGTTGATTAAACATTCAGTTTGAAGCTGCACTTGTTTCATGTATCTTTACAAGTAAACAGCAGACTTAAATGAATGAATGATTGCCTTATTAGTCCCACTGTGGGGAAATTAAAAGTTATTTTAAAGCTCTTCTCTTTGCTGAAACTCAATTGCACTCTATGGGTGTACGCCATAAGTCTTGTGAAAGTAAAATGAACAAATCAGACAAAAAAACATGTAATCTTGTGCAGACTTGTAAGTCACTATTTGACGCTATGGGCTGAAAGTTGATTGGCTGAGTGAGAATAGTAATCTATATTTTACTTTGAAAAACCACATCCAAAGACATGACAAAGTGAAAAAATACATTCATGTGAAATCTAATCATAGAACCAATGTATTTTGAGACCAAATATCTAGTTAGTTGGATTTTTATTATATAGTTACATTATTTGTGACCATAATAACCTTATAAGTTAATAGCAAAATACACTTTAGCTAGTATTTAGTTGTTATGTATTATGCGGATTATTGCATGTGTTCTATCTTCGAGCTCAAGTTATACACTGAAAACATGTCAAATTATGCCAAACCATTCACACATACAACAAAAATACATGACACTTTCAAGTAAGTCTGAATAATTAATGCATTCCATAACAGGAACAGGCCCCAGAGAGCCGCCTGGACACTCTGAAACATGAGGAATTGCATATTTAAGTATCTAGCAGCATATGTGTTGGAGAATTTGTCCCATAACATTTTTGAACTCTGCTTTCATTGGCCAGCTGGAAACACCATCTTCATGTACTTATTTGAAGAGAAACGCCAAAAATTGTTAGCTTCTTGTCCGCTGCCTAATTGGTTTCTGTCAAGCTAAACTCAAGTTGTTGGCGTGAAGGACAAATTCATGTTTTGATTGGGAAACACAGCTCATTTTCCTGCCAGTGTCTCTATTTGTTTGCTGTAATCGTCCTAATAATTCAAAATGACTGCGCAAAAGATTTATTGATGTCAAAAACAGCGACAAACCGTGGCTTTAATTAAGTTGGCATTATTAAAAATAGGAGTTTTCAGCCATGAAAGATTGTCTGCATGCGTGAGAGAAATTTTACATTTTCCTTTGGGCTATTTTCCTCCATATAAATTCCTCTGCCTTTTTATCCCTTTGTACCATGCAGCCTCTTCTTTTGCATTCACATCATTTGTAAATCTTCCTCTTTGCTCCTCGTTTGACAGCCCACTTTGTCCTTCCACTACAGACCACAAATTATATTAACCTGGTTTTTTGGAAAGTTTAATAAAATGTCAACTTACAAACATAAACTCACCTTTTCAAAATGTCATTCCCAAATCTAACTAATCACAAGTCTAATCACAACTCCTTAGACATTAGCAGCAGATCCACATTTGTAATTTTTGAGGGATTATTACGACTATGATTTGCTTGGTTTTCAAATTTAAGAAATTCTAATTTAGCCAATTAGACTGATTTATGGTTTCAGATGGAGGTCGTTTGGCCAAAAAAATATGAACAATCAAAGTAATGTTATTTTCAAAAAGCAGATCACAAATTGGAGGTCTAGTCTAGAAATAATCAATTATTCCACACTTGGGATTAATGAGAATCCGCCTACACCACAGTTTGAGGAACATCAATTGGTAAAGTGAGAAAATTATAAAAGAAAATAACCCACAATTACCTGGGATAATATTTGGACATTTCTTTCAAGTTCACATCACTCAAGTATGGGCTATATATATGAGTATATTTGTGTCTAATGGAGGAAATTCATGTCCTCAGAAGAGATTGACAATATTCTCAACTCATGTCCAATAAAAAATAATGATTTGTTCACAATACCTCCATAAAGTTCATTCATTCATGTTCTACTCCTTTATTAGTCCATTTCTGGGTTGGGGGGGGGGGGGGGGGGTGAAAATCAGAGCTGCCACCACCTCCATAACGTGAAAAAGTATACACACAAAAATAACCACAAATGCAAGAAAAACAGCTAGGCAAGGCAAGGCAAGTTTATTTGTATAGCACAATTCATACACAAGGCAACTCAAAGTACTGAACAAAACAAGAAAGCATTAAAATCATAAATAATAACAGAACATTAAAAAGAAAGATAAAAATATAAAATCCCTCAGTTGTATGCACAGCTAAACAGAACTGTCTTTAACCTGGTTTTAAACATTGTCAGAGAGGAGGCCTGTCTCACATCTTCAGGAAGATTGTTCCAGATTTTAGCAGCATGAATCTGAAAAGCAGCCTCCCCATGTTTAGTTCTGACTCTGGGCACTAACAGGAGTCCAGTCCCTGTGCTCCTCAGAGTCCGGGCTGGTTCATATGGGACTAACATGTCACTAATATAGTTTGGTGCGAGGCCATGGAGAGACTTGTACACAAGCAGAGCTGTTTTAAAGTCTATTCTCTGAGCCACAGGAAGCCAGTGCAGAGACCTGAGGACTGGACTAATGTGGTCGTACTTCCTGGTTCTAGTCAGGACTCGAGCTGCTGCATTTTGAATGTACTGCAGCTGTTTTACAGCCTGTTTGGACAGACCTGTGAGCAGGCCATTGCAGTAGTCTAACCTACTGGAGACAAATGCATGGATAAGAATCTCCAAGTCTGCTTTAGACACTATGTTTTTGATCCTGGCAATGTTTTTTAGATGGTAAAAAGCTGCTGATGTTACTGATTTGATGTGGCTATTAAAATTTAAGTCTGAGTCCAGTATTACCCATAGATTTCTGACCTTGTTTGAAGGTTTTAGGGAGAGAGACTGGAGGTGACAGATGACGCTCTCTCTTTGTTTCTGGGGACCAAAGACAATCATTTCAGTTTTGTCTGCATTTAGCTGAAGGAAGTTGTTTTGCATCCACTCACTGATCTGTTGGATACAGTGAAGGAGTGAGTCCACTGGTCCATGTTCTCCTGCAGTCAGTGAGACATAGATCTGAGTGTCGTCTGCATAGTTATGATAGGAAACTTCGTTTCTGCGTATTAACTGACCTAACGGCAGCATGTAGAGATTGAACAGAAGAGGTCCCAGGATCGACCCCTGTGGGACTCCACAGGTCAGGGCCATATGATCTGAGACACAGTTTCCAATCTCCACAAAGTACTTCCTGTCCTCAAGGTAAGACCTAAACCAACTTAGGGCGGTGCCAGCGACTCCAACCCAGTCCTCTAATCTCTGTAAGAGGATCTCATGGTCGACGGTGTCAAAGGCAGCACTTAGATCTAACAAGATTAAGATTGAGACTTTGCCTGCGTCAGTGTTCAGCCGGATATCGTTTGTGACCTTAACGAGAGCAGTCTCAGTGCTGTGGTGGGGTCTAAAGCCGGACTGAAACATATCAAAGGAGTTGTTGATTATAAGAAATCTAGTAAGCTGTAGGTAGACAACTTTTTCATGGACTTTCCCCATAAATGGCAGTTTTGAGATGGGACGGTAGCTATAATTAAATAAACTTCCATAAATAGAATAGTGGACATATTTCAAGTTTTCCTCTCTTTCTCTTCTTCAAAATAGACATTCCCATCAGGTTAGGCGTCATGACATTACTATGAAACCTTGAAAAATGTCCTGATTGCTAACTAGTGCATTAGCCGCTAGCCCATGTTTATTATTGACCGCTTTAAAACAGAGAATAATGCATCAGTTTTTTATATAGCGCTTTTTTGGACACGCTTTAGAACAATGTCCATCAGCAAAACTTTGTCAATCTCCAGTCCTTACAGTTCCAAGTATCTCTGCATGTTTGGGCGATAACAACAACAGGCACTTTAAACAGGCTGCATATTGAAATTGATGAATCCATCTTTACTATCTGTCTCTGTCATCTCTTTCCGCTCACATTTTTCTCTGTAAAAAACTCCAAACATTATTAGACTTCACTCTGAGCGTCTGGATACACTCTCTTTGTCTGCAATCTATTTTTTTTTTAAATGGCTTTTTTTCCGGATGCACTCGGTCCTCATAACAAACAATGCATCACGCCACGTCCCAGAATATGATGTATATACTGTAGCTCGCAGCATGTGGTCTGTTTTACTCCTATGAACATGTCGACAGCTGTAGGCCTATTGATTTGTTAATATTGTGTCCCAAAAGCTCAAATGCATCTTCACTCCTCACACGCTCATCCTCACTTCTCAATCAATCACATCATTTCGGCATGTTTCTCATACAACACCGGCGCATCAATCACGCAGCACTTTTCTCATATTCTTTACATATTCTATACATGCTTTGTTCATAAATCTTGGCTCTGTCACTTCACTTTCTCCCATGGCCTATAATGTATTCCGTGTTTTTTTGTTCCCTTTGCCTCGTCCTGCATCTGTCTTCCCAACTCTTCCATGAGTTCAACTTTCTCATACAAACGCTCAGCAGTTAGTATGAGAAAGCCGGTGCCATCTTTCTTGCCTCTTGCAACATTCCTCTTGGATTTCATTAACCCCGGTCCTGATTCTGCTCTCTCCTACACGATCTCTCTATCAGGGCTATTCCCATCTCTCCATAAATCAATGTGCCTATAGCTGAGATCTTGTTCTCCATTGTTTTCTACACAATTCCACGTCCCTGTGTGTCAGATGGTGTAACAGGATAACGCCGCATCCTCTGCTGGAAATTGACTTTTGTGAGAATAATGATTGGTTAGTATTATTAAGATGTTGTAGTCATATTCTAGTACAGCACCACTCTTTTTTCTGTTTTAGGGATATATTTATTAACATTACGGATATTGGTCGTCCTCCTATGGACCGATGGCTCCTGTGTGTTTGTTATTATTGCATTCCCTGTGTTAGAACTGTTTGATTCTCTGATCTGTTGTTGGAGAATCGACAACTTGTTAAAGTCCTCCAAGACTGTTGTGATTTACGGTTAGACAAAATAAATGGAATTGAAATTGGTCTTCCACAGAGTTAAACGTCAATGTTATTTGTGTT